TGTGTGACAGCCCTGCCAAAGGTTGCAACTTAAGAGCAGAGATTCAAGACAGTGCTATAAATAAGCCAAGTTTTATTTTCCTACAGTCAGCTTGCTTTTTGCTACTGTTTGCTGTTGTAAATGTGGTAGATATCAGATCCACCCACAGACAGTCCTGCCTTGAGCCTCCCATGGTACCTAGTCAGATGCCTTTGGCAAGGTGGCCAAGCCAGGTCACAGTGGGGCTGTAGCATGGGGAATGTTCCAGGCACTCACTCAACATCACTAGATTAGGGAAGCCAACCCTTGTTCTACTGTCTTGCTCCAGGTATAACCCATCAGCCAAACCTCCTTCAATACTAGCTCTCATCTTCTGACCTGGTCAGAAACATTTACCAAAAAGGGCCACTTTCCTCTGTGCATTCTATTTAAATATTTTCCAGCTTATTTGATGGAGGCAGGGAGGCCCTGTAGATGATGGCTTCAGGAAGTTTTAGTCCCATGGAGGCTCCTGTCTGGAGCTGTTATCTCCCACCAAAATTGGAGGCAGCTGCTGCCAGATGTGTAAGAAACTCTGCGATGTGCCAGAACAAAATCAGGGGGTGTGATCGTTTACTTTCAGTAAATGATGGTGCGAGTGCAGACTGTCACCAAGAGATCTGTCTTCCTGCCAATTTCCACCCTAAACAGCCTAGGATTTTTAAGAGGGACAGTCCTGGTGGGAGTGGGGACAGGGAGGGTCTGGACCAAGCACTGAGAAAGAGGCCTGCTAGGCAAGTCAAGCCATGTGATTGATTGAGGGAGGGGGTTTGGCCTTGATTCAAAACTAGTCTGACCCAACGCCCTGGTTTGCCTGGAATAGTCATGGAGGATGCCTGCCATCCAAGTTGCATTTTTAATAACGCCCCTTTCACTCACAAAAAAGTCCATGTTTAGATGATAAGTTCTGTGATTACCCTATTCCAAAGATGGGAAGGAGTTAGGCTAGAAATGCATCCACAGAGTGACATGTAGGATGTGGGACCCCAAGAAGTTTACTTGGCAGTGCCTGGAGGAGAGAGACAAGTGGTAAAGGACCAGGTCGGTTCCTTCTCAAGCATATTTAGAATTACAGCATTGTCAGCAATGTCCACTCATGACTTTGGAGAGTGTGACGCTGGAAGGGTCTTTGGGATGGTCTGATTTACCCTCTCTTTTACTGGAAGAGGACATTAGGGTAAAAGATAAAAGGGACTTGCCCAAGGTTACATTCTGGTTGCTGGCAGAGTGGGGATAGAAACTTGTCCTTAAGGGATCAGGTCCAGGTACTCTTTACTGGGACAGAGGGAGACAGAGGACCCTGAAAGAGGCTGCAGAGAATGAACAGACACATGAGACCTTCTATGGCAGCTCTAGGACAGGGAAGCACCACAGACTACCCCACAGTTCCTAGACGGGGGGTGGGAGGGCAGAGACTGGTGAGGTTTAGACTTGCTGAGCTTGCTTGGACATGTGCTCAGGTGACACCTGGAGTCACAGGGGAGTGCAGGTGGAACCAAGGACAAATGGGCTCTCCAAGGTAGCGACTGAGAGGCACTGAAGCAATTAATTGGCCATAGAACTAAGAATCAGTGAAGAAACAGGTAGGTATGGAGATCAAACACCAACAGGGTCAAATAAGTAATTTATGGAATCCAAATATTGTTCTATGGTTCAAACTAGTGAAGTCTCACTGAGATGCAACCCCTGATAACAGCTGCCTTACTCTTGGGTATTGCTTCCCTAGCCCCTTCTCAGGTCTGCAGTGGTGGGCAAACCTTAAGCCAGTAACAACTTCTACCTCTGCCTGGTAGATGGGAAACTGAATCACAGAGAAGCTGGCTTTCTCTGGTCTTACAGGACCCTCAGAAAGAAGGGTGTGATTAACAAGCCTTGAGAGTTGACTCCACAAGCCTGCCACCACAGTAGCCTTCATGGTTCCATGGCAGTCACACCTCCTGTGTGTGCTCTTGTGGTGAAGGGGTGGTGTGGTAGAGTTTTCTATGAATTTGCTCGTCTGAGTGGGGCCTCCCCAGGAAGAAGTCGAGCATGAGAGTCTGGGGATCCTGCTTTCTGGTCCTAATTCTATTGCCGGCGGACGAGCTGTGCAATGGGGCTAGTCACTCCTCTTCCTGTCCCTCCTGCTCTTCCTAGTTGTCAGATAAAAGTTCTGGCTTGTGCCATCTTCAAAATCTCAATGCTTTTGTCTTTGCAGGGGGATCTGACCTTGGTTCAACCATCTGTTTAGCTGTGAGTTCATCTCTTGCATCTTCTTGGCAATCTGTCTATGGAGCATCTTCACAGGTTAGGCAAGGTGCAGCTGTGTGATTGAGGGAGGGGCTTTTGGCTTGATTCAAAATTAGGCTGCCTGGGACAATCAAGGACCATGCCTGCTACACAAGCCATATTTTTAATGGTGCCCCTTTAAATATTTGTCATCAGGTCTCGATTACTTTTGACAATGTAGGAATGCAACAATATGCATGCAAAACATAATTTTAAAAAATATCAGCTGGGTGCAGTGGTTCATGCCTGTAATCCCAACACTTTGGAAGGCTGAGGCAGGTGAATCACCTGAGGTCAGGATTTCGAGACCAGCTTGACCAATATGAGAAAACCCCCTCTCTACTAAAAATACAAAAAATTAGCCAGGTGTGGTGGTGGACACCTGTAACCCCAGCTAGTCAGGAGGCTGAGACAGAATAATTGCTTGAACACAGGAGGCAGAGGTTTCAGTGAGCTGAGACTGCCACTGCACTCTAGCCTGGGCGACAGAGCAAGACTCCGTCTCAAAAAATATATATCATATTTGGCCGAGATCTGTTTTTTGCCTCCAACAAGTTTTCATGAGGTTAAGTTAAATATGTGAAATTATTGCAGACAGTCTGCAAACTGGGAAGCTCACTAGAGCAAACATACAATCACCTTCAGGCTGACTGTAGTCAAAATAACCTACTGTCGCCCTGAATAGGTTTTCTCACATAACATCTATAAAAACCCAGCATACCATTGTCACACACACAGTGCCTTCTGATATGTGACATTAGAAAACCTCAATCTCCTGAAAAAAATCATAAAATAGTTTCAGTATATATGAACTCAGCACACGTTATTGTTCAGTGAAACTTCTTTCTTTGATAATGCCTGTTCAAATATTTGCAAATGTTGAGAAAACACCCACAGAAATCATCCTCTGTTGCTGAGGCCACACCGTCTGCAGAAACCAACAGGTAAGACACAAAATACTGAATGCCACTGGAGATCACACAATTTCCAGGACACCTCAGGCCATCTGAGGCTTCCTGTCCCAACCCCAAACTGCTAGTTTCTAACCAAATGTGCTAGAGAAGCCAGCCAGGACATTATAAAAGTTAGCAACAAGTTGATATGGTAAGAGGAGGAGGGGCCTTTGAATAGCATCTCTTTTCAGCTCTCGCTCTAGATATGAAAAAACTCAGAGGGGGCTGTGGCATCCCAGGTCACGAAGGCCATGAGGACCACTAGAAGCAGGTCTGGAGGTATGGTCTCTGGGGCTGGGCTCCGTCACTGCCTCTCTACCCCACAATACCTATGAGATGCCCATGTAACCTACATAGGAGCCCAGGAGTTTCACCTCCTGAAAATGGTGATGGATGAACAGTAGGAGAAGAACAAGAGAGACGCAAGAAGCAGATGGTAGGAGAAAACACTGGATGGAGGGAAGAAAGACCAAAGGCCCTGTGTCCTCATCACCTTGAATAGTGAGCAGAGAAAAGAGGTAAGCATCCAGGGCCTAAGAGCTGCTTCAAGGTCACGGAGTAATGGAAAGCCAGCCTGTACCTGGAAGGAAAGGTCCTTGCAAAATGGAACTTAAAGCAGGAAATGGAGAATTAAGTGTGCAAAACAAGAAATGCCTATGTGTCTGAATCTATGTCATTCTAAGTCAGTGTATCAGACGCCCAGGACTCTGACAAATCAGGTTTCCCAGGCAAACCCAACACTTGGTTTAGGCAGCACTTCTTTATTATAAAACTAGCATCACTGAAAGCTTTTTTTTTTTTTAAGACCAAAAATATCACATCTTAGGCAAATGAATTGAAAATCCCTCAGAGTGACACCCTATTTTTTCCACCCATTTCTAAAGTCAGAGGACACCTGGTAAAGAAACAGGTTTTTAGGTAAAGCCATGCAATTCCTGGTGCACGTGGTTTCCTGGTGGTACTGCACTGAAGTGACATCATGGAAATGTTTGTGCCTCACGGTCAGTCTGCAGGGTTTCTGGGTGAAAGCATGAGTGTTAGTCACTGGTGGGAAAGTATGTTTGTGTACCTTTGTGATCTGCTGCTGTTTACTGCTCTCTGCTTCAAAGACAAAGTTTTAATTAAATCCAGGCGGGCAGCTTGCCAGAGTTCTCCACACTTTTGGCTCACCTAGGTATGCAGCCTAAGTGTAGGTTATGCCATTTGGAAATGCCTCTGCTCCTGTCATTCAGAAGGTAAAAAAACAATTGTTACTGCAAGGAAAAAGAGTTTTTCTTCTATACAAGGGCAAAGAATCTATGACATGAGATGCTCATTCTGGTGGTGAATATGAACAGTCTAATTAGTGTAGCATTCCTTAAGGTGACAAAAGTAGGAAGCAGCAGACTGGGAACGTATGGAATCCTTGTCTTAATTAAAAATATAGTGGGAGATGTGGAACTTGGCCAAGCCTCATAAATCTGCTAAAAAAGCATCAAGACTCTGTCAGGTAAGTTTAACTAGAACCAACTGAGCCCTCTGGAGAGTTAAATAGATTCCCCACTCGTGTGGACACCCATTCTCCTGTCACTTTCTCATACTCCGCAGGCAGCAGTGGTGCTCATTAACCAGCAACCCGCCAATTCGCCGATGACAAGCTTATCCCCCTGGAGCACACGATTCAGAGATGATAAATTTACTCCCGCCTGTAAAAATGAAACTCTCCTCGGGGCAATAAAAACACTCTGAGCCTTTAGGAAATAAGTTCTTTATCTGATAACCTACCTTCATTAACAAAGTCTGGTCCTCTTGGTTGGGACAGCTCTTCGCTGCCAGGAAGAACTGCTCTAAGGTAACGAAGGAGAGAAATAGAAATGGTGAATGACTTCACTTCCAACTCTGAGCCCTTCTGATATGAAGGAGAACGCTGTGGTTACAACAGACGTAAATGGTATGCTGTTCGTCCTTCCTTGGTGACATGGCAGAGCTCCCCAGCTGTCCCATGCATGGGTCAGGGGCCCCCACACAGTGACTTCTCCACCCCATCAGCTAGAGTCATTACATCAGAGTACAAGGCCATTCCCATCAGCAAACGTCCTCCCTAAGCTGCCAGGAGGTCCTGGGTTCAGCTTCCTTGTGGGCCATCTTGTCCCCAGAGATGACATTGTGTCCCCATTTCCTGGGACCTTCACTGAGAGAACTGCACCTGCCTTTGTAAGTTTGAGAGTGCTAATTTTTAAAATCTCAGTCTTCCATCATGACTTCCATGGCTTTAACTCTTTTCCTGGTTTATGGCCCCAAATGTTGACTCATACCCCACCTGCTCCCCCAAATATATCAAGTCATCTTTCTCCAACCAGCCTTCTCAAGGAGAACAGGGAAGAGAAACCTAAGAAGGCTTATGGGGAAAAAAAGTTTTAATCGTACATTGAAATTGGCCATGAAAGCTCTAGGGATGTTAATCTAGAAAATTTATACAAATTACATTCCCCTTCTCATATTTGTGGCCAGGTTCTCATCAAAGGCTCACTTATGAGGTCACCAATTTTTATTTTGGTATAAGCCACAGACTGCCCTCCCTGTAGGCTGTGTTAACTATATTATTTCATGCTTGAAAATGCTCCCACAATTCTCTGCCACTGCCAGATTTAAATCCACTTATTTGACAGGCATTAAGGCTTTTACCAAGTTAACCCATCCAGATTAACCTTTGATTGCTATACTCAAAGTTGCATTCTCTCTTTACCCGCTGTAACCTTTCATTGCTCTCTGCTGGGAACAGCTGGGCCTCTTATCTTTGAGTAGAGCAAAACTCAGTCCTCCACTTGAACATCCCAAGCCCACCCATCCAGCCAATAAAGCCCTTTGCTGCCCTCTGGTCCTATGCAACCCCTACAGATCCCACAAAGGTGGGCAGAGCTAAACTCAGCCTCAAGACTGAGGGACAGTTGGATTCCAATGATTTGGACTCAAGCATGTCTGGATGTCATGTCTACAAATACAGATATTTTAAAGAGAATGATATCAGCAATATTGAATTTTCATCAAGAAAATATTGTCTGGGTAGGTTTGTTTGTAGTTTTCAATGCTACTCTAAAATACAATTCCTTAGACTGCTTTCATCTCTGACTAAATTACTCCATGCAGTCTCAACTGCTATTCGTCATATCTGGTGCTGATTATTTCAACCAAGTCTAAATTTTGCTCTTATCCAGTCAAGACATACTTAGGATCCATAGAGAGATCAGTGTTGCCTTCCACAGCCTCTCCAATGCATATACCCACCCAGTCTTCAATTGGCTGAAGCCAGTGTTAATTACATAGAACCATCAATTTAATCTTTTTTAAAAATTAACTTTGCCTATAAAAGAGGCTCAGCAGAAACTTGTACAGGGAGATGAGGGCCCAAGCTGTGTTAAATTGAAACAAATGCTTTTGCTCTCACCTGTTCAGAATACAGCAGTCTGGCAAAGACCCTGTAGGTAAGATCTCTCTCCCCCAACTCTGTTCTCAGTTTTGGACTTTTGCTGTGACCTGATTTGGTGTAACAACATATTGATCTCTGAGGATGGCTAAAGAATAATCTATAAATTCAAGTGCTAAGTTTTCTTCAGCTCACTGGTTTAAGGCGGCTATTTTATTTGATAAAGGTTTATGCTATAACTTAGAATCTTACTTAGTGCAGGTCAGGGAAATTGAAACACTTGACTTGTTTCCTTAGAGTGACTGGATTCTTACTGACAGCTCTCCCTTCTCTGTGGTGACCCTGCATTCATGCTTCTCACTTCCTGTGCACTGGACTCCACTATAATACTTTTCATTGTCACAGACATAGCACCCACTTCAAGTTACCTTGAACTCTGTACATCTAATCCAAACCAATTGACATCCATACCAAGCCAGCCCTTTCCAGCATTTTCCCATTTCTGTGGGACTGTCATCCTCCAGTCACTAGGCCATTGAGCCTAATTCTTTGATTCCTCCCTCAGGACCCCATGTCTGCTGACTCTTGTATGAAGATATCCCTTGGATGCATCCCTTTCCACAGCAGCACTGTCACTTTGATCCCTGGAGAACCTTCTTGCTCATTCCCAGCCTCCATGCCCACCACTGCCACCACTCTGAGCCTGGCCCTGCTAGAGCCCTATGCCTATGGCCTTCATTCCTCCTCACCACTCCAGGCCTAACCTCTCTTCCCCAAGCAAACTACCCTGATGGCTCCTGACTCTCACTCATGCAGGGTTCCATCTTGGGCCATGTGCTCCCTCACTGTATCCTCAGGTTGGCCAGGATCTCACCTGATATGATTTGGTTGTACCCCTAACAAAATCTCATCTTGAATTGTAGCTCCCATAATTCCCACATGTTGCAGGAGGGGACCCAGTGGGAGGTAATTGAATCATGAGGGTGGTTACCCTCCATAATGTTCTCACGGTAGTGAGTTCTCATGAGATCTGATGGTTCTATAAGGGGCATTTCCCCCTTTTGCTTGGCACTTTTCCTTCCTGCCGCCATGTGAAGAAGGATGTGTTTGCTGCTTCTTCCGCCATGATTGTAAATTTCTTGAGGCCTTCCCAAACCTGCAGAACTCTGAGTCAATTAAACCTCTTTCCTTTATAAATTACCCAGTTTTTGGTATGTCTTTATTAGCAGTGTGAGAAAGAACTAATACATCACCCTTCTCCAGGGCCATGATGGGAAGTAGTCTCAACACAGGCCTGGAATCAGACAGACCTGACTTTAAACCTTCCCTCTGCCACGTCCAGCTGCCACCTCCTTGGACAAGTCACAGCCTTGCTGAGCCTCACTTCCTCATCAGTAATGTGTGGAGCCTGGAGCCCACTTGCTGGAGCAGGTGTGAGGCTGTGTATGAAGAAATGGTGCTGACAGCGAGTCTGTACTCCATCTCAGGTTCCTGGACAAAGCTTTCTCTAAGTCTTGCCTCTTCCCTGTTCAATGTCTTGATGTGACACATGGCACATGGGGTTTCTCTTTCCTAATCAGTCTCTAGTGTTTAGATGTCTGGGCTGCCCAGAGGGCTCAGGAGATGAACTTGGATCCTATTCCAGAGTCTGTCCTGTCCCCATCACGTCCAGCATGTCCATAACCATGACCCCATTTTGTAGAACTGGACTGAAGTAGGAACACAAGGCCAGACTTCAGTACAGTTCCCTTCAATGGGCTAGCTGAGCATCATGTGGCTAGCAGCCTACAGCCATTTCTACAGAAATGACTAGAACCAACCTTGAGAACAGAGGCCCCACAAAAGCAGCATGCCCCTATGTCTCAGTTTTTTCCCCCCACCCTAGATATCGGTGTGACATTGGCTCCTATGCCAGTGCAGGTTTCTCTCTCCCCTCACCCCACTCTCATTTCTATCAAGTCACAAAAGAGAGGAAGGGGTAAAAACCATTAGGTTTGCATAAAGACATACCCAAGACTGGGTAATTTATAAAGGAAAGAAGTTTAACTGACTCATGGTTCTGCAGGTTTGGGGAGGTCTCAGGAAACTTATAATCATGGCAGAAAGGGAAGCAAACACATCCTTCTTCACATGGTGGCAGGAAGGAGAAGTGCTGAGTAAAAGGGGGAAAAGCCCCTTATAAAACCATCAGCGCTCATGAGAACTCACTCACTGTCATGAGAACAGGTCTGTGCAGCCACTTTCCCTGATAGCTGATTCACTGACAACTTGCAAGAGAAGCCTCATGACAAATTGACATTTCACATCCCTCCCTTCTTCCTCCCCAACTTTTAAATAGAAGGGAAAAAAACCTCAAAATGAAAGCATTTGTCGCATTTGCTTTCCTCTACCTTTGCTGCTGATTCAAGGGGCTGACTGCCTAATGAAAAAAAGATATGCAACCAAACAAGTGCCGACAGAATGTAAGGTCTCCCTGGGGCATGAGCCTCCCTAAGGGACTCTCAGTGGAATCACCTTCTTGCTTCAACATTTATTGTCTCAACTGCTCTTAAGTGTTTCAGTACCACTCATGGCGGTAGTGGGAGGCGAAGCTTCCACCTGTCTGAGTAGAATCAAGTTCTCCTTGGTTGAACCTTTCTACCTTTGTGTGACAAAAGAAGGGAGAACAAGAGACTTTTAGATATCAGGTAGCTTTGAAGTTGGGATCAGGAAGAGGAAGCACAGGGAACTAACCACCTGATTCAAGTAAAAAAGGGTCATTTTGTAGAAAAAAAAATGGAGCAGCATGAAATAGGTTTTCTCTTTGTTGTATGTGCTGCAATCAGCAGTAAATTACCTACAATGGCCTCATCCCCTGCAGTCGCTGCTGCAAGGTAGAACCTTACAAGATGGGAGATACCTAAAACAAGGAAATGGTTGCACCCAGAATAAATTTCATTATAAAATGCTGTTTCAAATCAGGGGGAAGACAAAACAAACACACAATACCATTGTACTGATTTTCCTCTTCAAAATATTGCTGGTCAGTTTGGGCACCTGTCATGCAGGGACAATTCACCCTGACCTATAAACTGCACCTGGGGCTGCAGTGCTCAGAAATCCTTTCAGCTTCTCTCTCAATCTTTGTGCCAGGGCCCTGGGTAATAGGACCCCTGCCTCTGAGGCTAAGCTTTAGAGGACCCTGCCCATGGGGCTACGGGGACTGCTCACCTGGATCCTGCACTCACTCCTCCGGGGACCAACACTCTCGTTTCCTGACCTTAAGCCTCTTTTCCGCGATGTGTTGTTGCTAGTGAGCCACACCACTGCTGTGTCTACTCTAGACCCGTGGGGTAACCAAGGGGCAGCCAATTGCAGGGGTGTGGACAGACCTTGACTGTCTAGACCAGAGGATCTGCACGGTGTGGGGTGGAGCTGGAGGCGCAGTGAGAGAG